AAATCAGGTGGAAGGGGATTTCTCCCACACAAACGAAGGATTTGGAAGAATTCAAGGTTTGTAATCTTCTGAGTTACTGGACGTAACAACATTTTTTTTGATAGAACATGTCACCATGGACACATGAATTCACAAGAGGAATTTTTTTTATGCTCGTAGGCAATGCATGTTCAATTAATGACAAATGTCTCAAGGAAAGCAGCTTATTCGAAAGATTTAGAAGAACAAGTAAGTTCTTGTTTTATTACATTTGGACACGATGTTGGCATCTATTGAAGACCTGCTTGTGCTCTAGTGTTGGAGAAAGAGAAACACTAAAGTACACACATGATTCACGAGCCATTTACAACAGTGCATAAATGATTTTTTTCTTCCTGTTTATTATTTTGGTTTGTTTTTGAAAGTGAGTTTATCAGCTACCTTCCATGCCTAATGTGTCGATGAAAAAACGAAAAAGATTGCAGGTCTCCAGACTATAATCAAACGGAACCAGCGGATGCTCACGAATAACACAGATCCTAAAGAAGGATTTACCTTGTCATTTATATTGGTTAAAGTAAGAGTATTTCTATCTTTGCAGCTGGTAAAAGTTTCATGTATTCTTTGTTCACTTTCTCCTCTATTTACAGACTAGCCCACATTCTACTGTTGAGATAGCTTGGTAGGTTGGTGCAGAAAGTATATCAAAATGAAAGAGTTGGCTGCTATTATGCACAAGGAAGGTATATTAGGTCCGAAAATTATGAGGTTAAGCGGGTTAGCTATTTTAATCATATTTGAAGATGAAGAAGAGAGTAGTGATTATACGCTAATAAATCAGATTGGGGCGTTGCAAAATTGTTTTGACAAAGTGGAAGTGTGGTCAGAAAATTTTCAGTGCAGCAGCCGTCGGGCATGGCTATCGTGCAAAGGGATCCCACCGTTTGTGTGGAGTCATCCCACCTTAAAAAATATTACAGACAAGTGGGGAGAACTTATCTCCATTGAGGAAGGAACCTTAAATCTCGGCTCGTTTGATAGGGCTTTGATTCAGTTTTTTACGAATTGCCAAGCTCGAGTGGAAGAAACCGTTGATTTGAAAGTCGGGGACCGGATCTTTACAGTACGTGTTTCTGAGTTTGAACCTTGTTTCAGTCCAGAATCTGTCTGGGTAGATTCGTCTTTGATGGACAAGGCAACTGCCTCCCCGTTAACCTTGGTGGGGGAGTCCGTTGGTGTCTCGCCAGTAAAGTCTCACGTGATGGAGGTATGTGCTGAGGAAGCACGTAGAAGGTGGACTTATCGGAGGAGAAGAATTCTGAGAGGTGTTCTGAGGAAGAAGACAATCTATTATGTTGTATGGGGAACAGAACTAGAGGCAACAACTTGTCGGGTGAGGACGAGGAGGAAAGGAACATAGGGGAGGAAATAATTATGGGTCTAAGGAATTTAGTTGCTGGTAAGGGGAAGGTTCAAACGAAAATCGAGGAAGTGGTGGAACACGAGATAATATTGGATCATGCGGAGAGAGAGGCAGAAGATGACAACAGGATTTGGTGTAAGAATGCATGTGCTAATGAGGGAATGAAGGATTATTTAATTCATTTGCCCATCAAAGGTGGTGCATGAAAATTGAGGGATGATTTATTCTCGCACAATTCCAGGCAGAACCAGAGAGAAAAGGACAATAATTTTAGCTCTCTCCAAACTTTTAAGAGAATTATTTGGCTCCCCAAAGAAAGACTAGTTACTGCCGAAGCAAGTATAATAAGAAGAAGGTGCATCGCGAGGAAGAATTGTCTGATCTTGAAGGCAGATTCCTTTATGATTATGACTTTCCAGCATTGGGGCAGAGCCAAAAGAAGGAAGCGACAAAATTCTTTCAGATCGGGAATGAATTGGGTTTAGAGTCTAGAGGCTCAGTAGTGGTTCTGATTTCGGAAAATTACAGCAGTGGAAGTTTTGGAAGGTGACTCGCTTATGATCATTGATTTTGAAGTTGGAGGTTCGGATGGTCTCCGACGACAAGACGAGCAATAAGTGGCAAAAAGGCGGATAGAGTGTTTTTGAAGCTTGCTTCTCTGCACTCTTATCATGTGGAAGCTCATGGCTTTTGTGTTAGATTTTGGATTCTATGGTTTGAGTCAGCTGTTTTATTTGGCTTCTATTTTAGTTGTTTTGTTTTGTGGTGTCTTTCGGGCCAAGTATAGGTTTTAAGTCTGGTCGGTCATATTAGAGGCTGTTGTTGTAGCTAAGTTGGATTAGGCTGAGTTAATGTTGTTGTTTAGGGTTGTTTTCGATTGTTTCTGGTGTTCTGTTTATGTTGGGGGTGGCCTCTGGATGTATCTTGTAATTTCTTATGTTTAATGAAATCTTAAGACACTCTTTTCCTCCTTCCGCTGATTAAGGAGCTTCTCTATAAATTCTTTTAATTAAGAAGGGGGATTTTAACGAAGCCTTCAATTCCTATATAAAAAAAAAGATTGAGATTTATGAGGATATGCAACTGGTGCACCTTGATTTTAACAGACAAGTAAACTTTATTTTACCATGGATATCATGTAACTTTCTTTTTTGTTTTATACTTTTGATTTTTTTACCATGGCAGTTTCATCTTTTTCTTATTGTTTCCGCTTGCATGATGTTGCTTATGTTCTGAAGCTAATGTATTGCTACCAACAACCTGAAGGTAGAGATCTCTCGCAAACTTCTTCAATCCATTCATCTTCAAGCTCTTGTATATCTGGAAGCAAACCGTTTTACTGGAATTCTGAAATGGACACCGTCAAACACGAGACATCTCAAAGATGAATAGAATCACTATAGCCCCTAACAAACACGTCTTTGGTACCTGTATATTGTCATTTCATTGAGAGAAAAAAGTACAGAATTATTTGCATCTCTTACGAGATCTCTTGATGTGTTTTTCAACATTGGAATGACTTGAGGGAGTTTCGTTTTTGTTCTGAGAACCTAGTGAATGAAATGCTGAAAATTGAGTAAAATGGTAGGGTTTTGCTCTTACTAGATTGTACATGAAGTATACTGACAATATCACTTTGAGAGCATATTATGGAAATTGTATTTATTAATAAAATAAATCATTTTAGACATTAAATTTAATTATTTAAGACTTAATAATCTCATTATCCCATGTACTTTGGTTTAGTTTCCATTTTATTATATATATATATATATATATATATGTTATATCTTGCACTTCATTTTGTTCCGGTTAGGGGCTGTTTGTTTTCTTCAGAATGATTAAGCGTTGAATGATTCAAATACTGAATGATTCACTCTTAATGGTTTGACTCTGAATGTGACATGCTGTTTGATAACTGGCTCTGAATGATTCAGAATGTACTTCTGTGCTGAATCATTCAGCACTGTTTTACTGAATCAGTCAGCACTGAATCATTCAGAGGTACGAAATAAACGCACTGAATGCTGAACGGTTTAACATTCAGAGCGGAATGGTTCTATTAAGAGGCAAACAAACAACCCCTTAATCTTATACTATAATTCTGTTGATTTTTTTTAATAAAAAATGTTCTCTTTCTTAACTCTCATTATTGTTATTTAATATACAGAAAGATTAAGTTAATTATAATTTTGGGTAAATTACGCATTTAGTACTTAAACTATCAGCTTAGGTCCATTTTAATACCTAAACTTTTAATTTTTCCAAAATCATCCCTAAAGTTTAGTTTTTTTTTTCACTTTAGTACCTAGTGGTTAAAAACTTAGCATGTTTAGTACCTAAACTATCAATTTTGGTTAGTTTTAGCACCTAAACTTTCATTTTTTCTCCAAAAATTAACGTTAAATTTTGAAAATGTACTAAAATGAAACAAAAATTAAACATTAGGTATAATTTTGAAAAAAAATGAAAGTTTAGATATTGAAACGAAAGTAAAACTTATAATTTAGATACTAAATACATAGTTTACCCTATAATTTTTTAATTTAAAAAATTTATTATTCTTAAACTTTAAATTTGAGGTAATTATGTAATTAAATGTGTTGTGACACATTTAAAGTTATAACCTTAAAGTCTTTTTAAACGTTATTAAGATTTAATCGATAATAATATATAATTTAAATTATAAAAGTTTTAATCATATTCTTTTATAAACTTTATGTGATTTTTTTTATTTTTTTACAAAATGTCACTCGACTATTCATTATGTTTCAAACTCGTCATTTTCTATTAAACTTTTGATGACAATCTAAGTTATACGTTAACGTGTTGACTGAGATATGATAAAATTTGATATCATAATCTCAAATGACTATCGTATCTCAGTCAACATCTTAATGTCAAACTCAGACGATCGTTAATTTTTTAACGAAAAAGGATGAGTTTGGAACATAATGAATAGTCGGATGACCATTTTGTAACTTTTAATAGTCGATGGACTCAACAACGTAACTCCCTATAGTCGGAGATATTTTATAACATTTAATAATTAAGGGACTAAATAAAATAATATCCTATATAGTCGAGGTAACATTCGGCTACTCTACCCTAAAAAAATAGACATGTAAGATCCCGACACCTCAGCCGTTGAGGTAAACAAAAGAAGAAATACAGACAGTAAGTTAGTTAGAATGGTTTGGGTGGCATGCAATGAAAGAAACATCCAAAAGTAGAAAAATGGAGAAGATTAAGAACCAGACAAAACTAAACTACTTACCCCCGACATAGGTGCTTCATTCCTTCCCTTTTATTTTCTTTTGTTTCCTTGTTTTTCTCTTTTACCCAAACATGCCAACACCCACTGTTAACGATTTCATAAACCATGACTGATGATCAAAGCAATGACTTGTTTTGTTTAATATGTGCTTCACTTGTCCAAAGGTATTATTGTTTTTGAGATGATGATGATGATGGTTGAGATTTGTTTTCTTTCCTAATGCTTGTTTGGTTGGCTGGAAAAGAAAAATAATAATAAAAACCCATAATTCATCTTGAAAGATTGCATGAAAACGGTTACAAAAATAAAAAAAAGGTTCAACAAGCTTGTGAATTTGTTGTTTAAGCAGGTCGGGAAACGCAAGTTAAATCAGCGAGCCATGGGGAAGAACAACATGCGAACCAACTCTAACATGTCCATCCCTCAAGGTCATCAGAATCACCCCAGTTGCATGTGGGGTATTTTTCATGTGCTTAAATACCATCACTGGAATCGCCGGTTTATCAAGAAGAGAATTTCTACCAAGAAGCAAGATGCAGGTAAGCTCCCGATCTGATCCGATCCGAACCCGAATTTCGTTTCTTTCGAACAAGCTTTCGCCTTTCATGGGAATGCTAACAAGCTTATCACAGGGCCTGAAAAACCAATGGATGAATCAGCAGGAGCCTCAAATAGAGGTGCTGATGATTCATCTAAACATAAGAAAGCTGAAGCAGCTAGCTCTAAGGTGAGTTGATGTATCCTACACGGTTATGTTCGATTTTTTTATTTTTTATTTTTATCATGTCCGATATGAATATGTATCTAATTCGAAACTTGCAGGTTGAAGGGAAGAAGAAAGCTCCCAGTACCGGATCTAAAAGCGTGACATCTCGATTGAAGGCACTGATAACCGATGAAGTGTCAAAAAGAAAGGGGCCAGGCAGCCATCACCGAAGTTCGACATACCCCATACCATCGAAATCGGATCCAGATAATCAAGTCGATCATCTCCCAGACATGGAACAATCTCAAGGGGGCTCCCTACGGTCCAACAAGAATAAAGGTATCTGGAACGAAAGCGGTTCCGATGATCAATATGCACCGAAAGCCTCAGAGGAACGCATTGCCAGTTACGAAACCGATGAAGAATGCAGTGCCCGGAACGGTTCGAGCAAAGAAGAAATCGACGAAAATACTAAGACTTTGATCGAGAGTGTCCTTTTCTCAGAGGGAGACCTTGATGGGAAAAGGAAAGCTTTACAAGAATTTAGTAAAGATAAAGATGGTCCCGGATATGAATCCAAGTATTTAATGGACGCTTTGGATATAATCAAGATGAACCAAGGGTTTTTGTTGACGGTTTTGCAGGACCCTGACTCGCCTTTTGCTCACCATATTCATAAACATCTGGCTATGAGTGCTCAAATGGGGATGCCACAATATGAGAGTTTCCCTTCGAGTGGTTCAACCAGCCGGGGAAACCAGAGCCCTGATGGAACCTGTAAAGGAAAGGAGGCCGATGTTTGTTCTAATGGAGGAAGTTCGGGTGATAGAGAGCCTGCAGATCATAATCTAAACCAAGCAAAGGCTCAAATAGCTGACATGTTGTCTTCAGATTCTTCGTCCCACGGCTCGAATCGATCTGAAGTAGCGAGAAATAGATTCAAAAGCCTTAGAGATAATCTAAGATCTGTAATCAAAGAGAGAAAGAAAGAGAGGCATAGGATTGCCATGGATGCTGTCCTTCACAAAATACCTCACCAGAAAGGATTTTCCAAGGACTTGACACCCGACATTGTTGATCATGTCAAGGACCCTGACAAGACTAAAAAGCTTTACTCTTCGTCTTTGTCCCGCAGGGGAAGTATGCGGCTCGAGCGAAGAACTTCTTTCAATGAGTCCATGGATAGATATGCACAACTGTTTAAACATAGTTTCAGTAAAGATGCTAAAGAAGAAAGAGTCACCAAAACTATACAACAAAGACGAGAAGAACCGATCGGTTCGCATAGTAGGAGCAAGAAGAAATACATGAGAAGAATCCTTTCATCTCCTGAGCTATATTCTTCTTCTTATAGCTGTGATGCATTTTCATTTTCTTCAGAAATGCCAACCCCAACCCACGTTGAATATAGCCCTTATGAACGAAAATACTTAGAATCAGAGGCTTTGGGTTATAGTTCAGAACTAGATCGCTTCGAAAAAACCGATGATGAACAGAAGAACTCGATGATCATATCAGACAATATTTCACATAGTGAACAAGACGGTAAGCCTGAAATCATTCCTCTTACAAAGCAGGAAGAACCAAGTTCTGATGGGCCAACAGACAGTTCTGCAGAGAGTTCAAAAGTACAAGGTATATGCCCTATTGAACCATATCGTTTGATCTTTTTGAACTGTTATATGCAAATAATACATTTCCCTTTATTATCTCAATGGAATGTTCATGGACAGAAACAGAGATAGAGACAAATCAAAGCTTCGAGCGTCCGAACCAAGAACTCGACATTTTACCCAATCTGCAACATGAATCAAAGAATATCCTTAAGGTGACCGGTGGAGGCATAATTGAGTTAGAGCAATTAGAGGCTTTAAAGAAGGATATAGAAACAATTGACAAACCCGAATTTGCATACGTGAAAGATGTGCTTGAACTATCAGGATTTAGTACGAGTGAGGCACTCGGTGCATGGCACGCAGAAAACCAGCCACTGGATCCCATGATGCTCGGGGAAATCAAAGGCTGCGTTAAGTGTGACCCGAATTGTTCGATGGAAGGAGAAGAAGTTGGTTACTGTAATCACCCACTTCTGTTCGATCTAACCAATGAGGTACTGGTAGATGTTTACGAAAGATCCTATAGTTACTACCCCAGAGTTTTATCTCCATTGTGCCACGTTCGTCCAATGCCGACCGGACGCCATGTGCTCGAGCAAGTGTGGGAAAGCATAAGCTGGTATTTGAGCTACAAAACCGGGTACGATAAACCATTGGATTATGTTGCCAGTAGAGATCTAATGGTAAATGATGGGTGGATGAATCTACAGGTCGATCATGAAAGCTTAGCGCTGGAGGTTGAAGAGCTTATTTTCAATGATCTTTTAGAGGAATTTTCTTCCTCAACTTGATCCCTCAGTATTAAAAAATTTTTGTAACTTGATTTGATCGTGTAATTACTACTTGCTTTACCCCAAACTTTGAATGAGATTAGGGAAATATATGGACATAGTTCTTGGTAATAACTATAAGAAACTAACCATACTCTGTTTTCATTAATATTACTTGGAAAACAATCAACCTGTTATAGTTGTAAGAATTCGATCTATTTTATATTCTATGATATTACCTCGAGACTTGATTTTTTTTTCTGATTCCCCTAAATTTAACATATATTCGAACATAAGTATGAGAATGTGAGCTTTTCTGCTATGTCAAAGTATGATATGGTGATCATTGTGCAAGGAAGTGAGTCTGTTTTCTAATGAATGAATGTAAAGCTCGTTTCTCTTTGCTTGAAGATGTTTGGATGATATGGAAATGATTTTGGTGCAATATTATACACTCCCAGAGGTATTGATGAGTGTGTTAAGCCCTTGATTAAGATCTATCAGTGAAGGTTTGCTCTCCTATTGAAGATAGCTTTCATGCGAAGAAGATGGAGGCTTTAAACTTTAAGTTATGGTGATGCTCTCCTAATCATCCAATGCTGTATATCACACAGCATATATGAATTGAGCACAGGGGTCTAATAGACAACACATAAACAAAGCCGATACAAACCGAGAGGAGGTGGGAATTTGATTTGATATCAGTTCAAGGACAGTTTCGTCGTCCCGGCAGAGCAACACGGTCCTTGTGTATTGCCTGCATCTAAGAGTTTGTACCATATAGGCATCTCCAATATCTCATACAAGGGGTTGTTGAAGATATCATTGGTGTAAAGCTCATATATGATATTCAGAGAGCCTCCATGTGCTGTGTTCCTGCAGGTTTACAAACCACAAATTTTTGGAATGCAGCATCTTCTGATATAGACGTCACTCAGTTTTCTCTGCACCATGTTTATTCTTTATGCTTTTAACCAAGCTGAGGGTGGCAAGATGGGGAAGATGTCTTGTGATAGTGCTTGCAATCATTTTTGGTCTGATATTAATAAGCTAAAGGATGTGTAATACACAGATATGTCCAACAAAGAATATTGTTTAATTTGCTTGGTCTCCTGGAATTTGAAAACCAGCAGGTAGAGGGGCTGCCATTCGTGCATTAAACAATGGCTGGGCTGCTGGACGGTTGGACTCCACAAAGAAAACCCTACCTCTTCTTTATCAAAGTTTATCCCAGTCCAGGCCTATTCAAGGCTCTCAAATCTCAATATTCCCAGAAATATATATTTCAATTCTATGGCGAAATCAAACGTTGAACTGTTTAAAGTTTGCACACACAAAAATTGTAATTTTTTCCTTACATTAAGCTAAATTTAATTATTTTTCCAAAATAATAAAAATACACTTACCCTATAATACTTAATGCATCCGCGACTGATTTCGAATCTTTAAAAATAAAGAAAACGATTCCCGTAGATATTTTGCATGAAAATTGTGGATAAAGCAAACACAAATGGGGTACATATTCCATTCCCAACTTTGCCCCACAACCCCATCTCTTAAACTATTTAATCTTTTCACTAGATTTGGTCAGCATTTGCAAAAAGGAGAGTGCATTCAACTTTATATGTACACACACACTTTCTTCTTCAATTCTAATCACTCTAACCCCCACAAGGACTGTAGTTTCTTCCTCAACACTCAATGGCATCTTCTTGAATGTACATAGAAAAAAAAGGTAACTTCTAATCTACAAAGTAAAGAATTAAGTTAAACTGTAATTTTATTTTCTATTTCACTCATTATACTTTAAATTTTTTTAATTTTTTCATTAAACTTAATAAATTAGGTTTTTTTACTACTTGATTTTTTTAATTTTTTCATTACACTTTCTTCTGCAACTATCTCTCCGTTTTTGTCTGCTTTGTGTCCCTCTCTTAAACTGGGTTTTCCCCGAGGTACGATATGTTGTTTTTCCTTTTTACATCAAAAGAAAGTGCCTTTTGATTCCCAAAGTTTTTCTTTGTTGTTATGTTGACCCTTTTAGCATTTAACTTCATTGTAGTTGTTGTTAGAACTTAGAACAGAGGTTTAGAGGTGACTCAAAAAGCTTTAAGCTTTGTTTAGCTTCTGGGATTGCATTTGTGTTTTTCAATACATGGTTATGGATCCAAGGTTAAAAGGGTTTCCAGATTCTGAATTGAGGAATCATCTAGCCATGTCCGTGTTTCAAAACCAGAACTTTGTTGGGGATCCCACGTACAGTAGTAGTTACATAGATCACAGCTTTCATGGATTTCAAGGCCACCAACCGGATCCAGTAACAAGTAATACGTCAACTTCGAGCCATGAAGAAGATTCAGCTGAAGACTGAATTTTCAGATTCAATTTTGAGATACATAAACCATATTTTGATGAAAGAAGATATGGAAGAGAAATTATGTATGCTTAGAGTCTTTGGATCTTCAAGCTGCTGAGAAATCATTTTATGATGTCCTTGGCAAGAAATATCCACCTTCCCCTCAACATAATAACTCTACTTTTGCTTGTGATAATGAGTGGATGCAAAATCTGGGTGATTTTGGTACCAATCAGGCACAAAGTGCTTATGTTTCTAGCATATCTCAATCATCGTATGACTCTTCCATGGCTAGCTTTGAGGGGATGTTGGAGTCACCAAATAGTACTCTCCAAGTGCCTGATTTTAACGGCGAGATTCTATCTATTTGGCAATTTCAGAAAGGGGTTGAAGAGGCAACTAAATTTATACCAACCAATGTGGATCTTTCTGGCAAATTTGAGGCTTATGATGTGGTGAAGGAAGAGAGCTCGGGTATCGGTTCAAAGGGGAGGAAGATTTCTCATAGAGATGTTGAAACCGAAGAAGAAAGGAGCAGCAAGCAAGCTGCTATTTCTGAAGAAACTACTGTGAGATCAGAGATGTTAGATATGGTATTGCATTGTACCTTCAACAGGCCACCATCGCCGTACACGGATCTCCATGAGTCGCTGCGTAATGGGACCGGTAAAAATGATAGGCAAAACGGTGGAAAAGGCCAAGGGAAGAAGCAAAATGGGAAAAAATAAGTGGTGGATTTGAGGACATGCTCATTCATTGTGCACAAGCTGTTGCAGTTGATGTGAGGAGTGGTGGGGCTGCAAATGAATTGCTAAAGCAAATCCGACAACATTCATCGCCTTTTGGAGATGGGAATCAACGGTTAGCTCATTACCTCGCCGATGCTGTTGAGGCGAGGTTGGCTGGTACGGGTAGCCAGATCTATAAAAGCCTTGTCAGTAAGAAAACTTCAGCTTTTGATATTATGAAAGCTTACCTTCTGTATGTTGCTGCATGCCCTTTTAGAAGGGTTTCTCATTTCATATGTAATAAGTCAATCGGTGTTGCATCAAGAAAATCAACGAAGCTTCATGTCATAGATTTTGGTATTCTTTATGGTTTTCAATGGCCTACTCTTATTGAGAGGCTTTCTTTGAGACCCGGAGGGCCTCCGAAACTTTGGTTTACCGGAATAGATTTCCCTCAACCCGGTTTCAGGCCGGCTGAGCGAGTTGAGGAAACAGGGAGGCGTTTAGCAGCTTATGCTGAAGAGTTCAAGGTGCCATTTCGGTACAAGACAATTGCAAAGAAATGGGAGAACGTTCAAGTCGAGGAACTCGGTATCGAGGAGGCTGAGTTTGTTATTGTTAACTGTCTGTATCGTGCTAAGAATTTTCTTGATGAAACAGTGGCAGTACATAGTCCAAGGAATATGGTTCTCAATTTGATTCACAAGATTAATCCAAATTTGTTCCTCCACGGGATTACGAATGGTGCCTTCAATGCTCCATTCTTTGTGACACGGTTCCGGGAGGCTTTGTTTCATTTCTCTTCGATGTTTGATATGCTCGACACAATTGTGCCCCGCGAGGATTGGGAGAGGATGGTGATTGAGAGAGAGATACTCGGGAGGGAGGCCTTGAATGCCATAGCTTGCGAGGGCTGGGAGAGAGTGGAGCGCCCAGAAACAGTCAAGCAGTGGCACGCACGTAATCTGAGGGCCGGGTTTCTGCAACAGCCGTTTGAATGTGGGATAGTCAAGGAAGCATTCAAGAGAGTCCGGACGTTCTACCACAAGGATTTCGTAATCGATGAAGATAACAAGTGGCTGGTGCAAGGTGGAAGGGCAGAATAATTTATGCCCTTTCTGCTTGGAAACCTGCATAAGGATATTGAATATAGCTTACTTTCAAGGCCTGCCTGTATTCATATTCTTGCTGTGTTGTAATGATCGGGTTCCAGGGCACCTCTTTCATGTCATCACTCGTACCAAGACGTGGTCGTTACCCCCCGCATTGGGGGTTAATGACAAGGAAGATGACACGAGAAATGTCCTGAAACCCGATCATTACCGTACATTACAAGCAGATGTGCACATAAGATCATGTGGACAACTGATTGCAATATATTACGGGTGCATGCTGCAAGAAGCAGATGAAGTAATTAGACCATCAACAACTTGGAGAATTGGGTCTTAGCTAACCTCTCAGGGTTCCATATATAGGCAACTTGACCAGGGAAAAAGATTGTAATATACAGATACGATTTCTGCAATTTTCTTTACATGCCATTTATGTACCTGTAAATCATCTGAAGGATAGATCCACTCCCATGTGCATCAAGCGTTGAATAAACAAAATTAGTAATCCAGACAGGCAAATGTGTAGAGTGATATATATTACAGGCAATGTCTCCATTATATGAGAGAAATGATTAAATTACATCATTAATCATGTATTATGTTGATATCGTGATTGATAAGTTCTTTAGATCGATTAAGACAACACTGATTATGCAATCCCAAACAGGAGGAGCATGAATTAACGTAGAAAATGAGAATTTTCCCTTTATTTATGGCCATATATAATGAAGATCAGAACAATACATCTACATCATATGAACATAGGAATGGGAACAATATGATCTCACTAGGCATTTTGATGCCATTTTTCGATTAATAGAAAACATAAGACGATCTAAGCTGTCACTGATGTTTCCACCGCAACTTGTCCGGCATAGTTGACTTCGGATTTCATCTCCCACAGCTCTGGCAACGCCTGCTTAATGTTGTGAATGCTTTCTAATGCATAATCTGCACCTCTTGGTCTCTGGGAAGAGCCGATCAGGACAGTGTGGAGACCAACATGTTTCCCAGCCTGGATGTTGCGGACACTATCGTCGAAGAACAACTGAAAACAGCAAAACATCAGTAGACTGGAATTATAACATAACCATGACAGATGAACAATATAGAGATAATCTCACTGTTCTCTGAGGGTTGACGTTGGCAATCTTGAGAGTTCGTTCGATGGCTGATTCTTGCGGCTTGCAGATGACGGGTGTCTTGGGCAATGTTACATCTGGCTTCGGATGAGTAAAATGGCCAATTATGTCGAAAATTTCAGGGCTGCTCCTGCTACGACCATCATCACTTGTAGCAGGTGACCCTAAGAATTCAATGTTGTCTTCGTCATCGGAAACCATGTTCTTATGGGTAGGGTTGAGTGTTTCGAAGCAGATAATCCCTTCGAAACAGTCTTCTAACCCGAGCTTGCTAAGGGCTTTAGCAGCATGGGCCCTGTCTGCATTTGTGAAGATCTAAATCAACAAAAGAAAACAACATAAGACCTTGTTAGGAGACGATTGAATAAAAACATGCTCAAAACTTGTCTAAGCATCGAGGTTAGTCAACTGCTTACAATTTTTCTAAGAGGCAAAGTCATCAACAGTCTCCTCAATTGAGGATCTGGTTTCAAGTTATCATAAGCGAGCTTTCCATGAACATAACTGTGGTATTCATCATAGTCAAAGTCATAACCAACAGCCTGCAAAGGAGAAAAGGGTGAGATTAACACGTAACATATATATATATATATATTTACTATAATTGTATGTAATGAAAAGGATGTTAAAAGGGTAAGTAGTAAATACCCTGAGGCCAGCCATTGTTGTCCCATAATTCTTGTACAAAAGATTGGACAATTCAACAATTTTGTCCTGTTGAATCCCCAGCTTCTCAACCATTTAATCTGCAAATGCCATTCATTTAACGTTTAGATTACAATGCAATCTTGATAGTAAAACAATGCAAATGTTTACCTTTAATGTTCTTTCCACATTTTCTTCCAATTCCAGAACTAAGGGGATAAAGGGTATCATCAAGATCTGCAGAATCCAAGAAAAAACGGTTATTAGATCCTTGTCAGATATTAGATTCATGTATTAACATGTTCTTGTCAACTATATCATGCTTACCAAAGAGAAGGCAGTCATATTTAGGCCTCTGGGTTAGCGTGTATTGATTCTCATATTCCATTTCCAGCAAAGAACCTTGAATCATCAATGAAATGAAGTTAATATCCAAATTCCAAACCAAAAGACAAAAACTTTAATTTTCAGCAAGAAAGGATCCATAAAAACTTACAAAGCTTCAAAAGCTAGAAGAGATGGTAGAATGAAGAGAGTGTAATGTGGTAGTCAATGAAGAACAACGAGCGAGGGAGGGGGGAAGAAGATGAGAGGGGAGATGGGTTTTTATAGGCAGAAACGGTTGTCATTTTAAAAATCAAATATTTTTTTACTCGTGTTGAAAACAACAGTATTTTACTATATTTTTGTTGTTACAGTCAATGAAGAAAAAAACAATCTTTAAAAGATGAAACAACCGAGTTAGCTGTCCAATTTGGACTCTATTTCACGTTCTTCTAGCCTTTGACTCCATTTTAAATGGTTCAAATTCATCCATCCTTTTTATTGTTCGAGTAAAATCCAGAATTGCCCAGAAATTCGCTTTAAAAGTTGAGTTTTTTGCGCTATATTTTATATCATTTTGACTAGCACATATATTAGATTTTTTTTGTTTACCTTATCTGATTCGAAAATTAAAATTCATCTATTCGATAAGAAAAATATACACATACCATATTCGTTCTTTTAAAATAAAATCCAAATAAGATCCGACCCTAAATAATATATTTATTAAAAAATATTTTTATTCAATGAAAATATGGATTTAATTGAAAAAATAATATATAGATGAGTATTATTATAATTATTCCTAAATATATAAAATATAATTACAATTTTTTATGTCAGTTCACATATTTTTAACCTAAATTTGAACTCAATTCAAATATAACTTTTAAAAAAACCCACATGACACAACCTTAATTTTTTTTGAAAAAAAGTTCAACCCAATTAAATTAAATCGGAAGCTGTCGAATTCGAGTCGTATGTCCATTCCTATATATAATTCTTATGTTACAAGTTGGACAAACTTTTTTTAGCTTCTTTTTTATTAAATGAAACTTGATTTCATGTCTTATTGTTACTTATTATACATTCGAAGAATTAATGAAGAAAATATAATAAAAAACTTTAGATTATTTTCTTTAGATTAATAAAAAACTTTTGATAGGGCCATTTTCAACTCTTTCCCTCAATTATTTCAACTTATTTAAAATTTAAAAAATACAATATATATCTAATTTAAATTAATCATTATAAAGTATGATTAGATGATCAATAAAAATATATTTAGAAATATTCATTATGATGAATATAAAGAATAAAAATAGATTAAAAGAACGACATACAATTTTTATTAATAAAAAAACTCGAAAAATAATTAATCTAAGGATGGAAGATATTTTGATAATAAAAGTATAAAAATAAAAATAAAATAATATAAATTAGAGTTTCGGTTAATCGAGATCGAAATAGAGGACCCAACACTAGATTGTGCAAGTCTAACCCAAAAAGCAACGCTGAAAAGCTCGTCCAATTCCACTTCATACTGGTAGCCCACAGGCCTCCCATGCTAAATAAATCATAAAGGAGCCCTACACTAAGACACCCACTCCCTCCATCCATCCCCGCTGATTTTCAGCTGACACACCATAGCTATCGTACGAAGGAGATAATGATAGCTTCTTTGTTTTTAATTTAATGGTTGAAAATCATAACTCAATTAACTTAGAGTTGGATATATATAAGTGAGAGGATAATGTCAATGTGGTGCTTGATTTTTGAAAACCATGTGACTAAAATGAACCTGCAAATAAAACTCTTGCTGGTGCTACCTCGCGAAGGCGACAGTAATTTGTGTGATGGCCACTGTTCGATGCTGAGTTTATCCCAACTCCATGGAATGCCAAACCTAAGATATCATCCGTTTGGTCCACAAGTTTATTGTTCTAACATCACAGCACCTAAATGGCGACAATTAATCAAGGTTTGCATACAGCCACTGGCAGATCTAAAATTCTTTTTGAAGGGTGACACACATCAATTATTGAAATCTTGACGCAAATAAAATTCTAACTATGTATCTTAACAGCTTCTTTTCTCATGTTACCTTACTTTGCATGTACCTCATCATCTAATGGCCTCAAAATCTCTATGAATCACAATTTGTTCATATCCTTCATGTAATAGAGAACACCAGAAGCAACATCCTTTATAATCCTGAATCTCTGGTCCCAACAATTTAGGATTGTTTTAGGGTTGTCATCAAACAAAAAAACTTATCTGAACTTCCATTATCCATTAAATCATAAACAAGAAGATCATCTCCTCGAAGCCATCCAATACTGGTTTGATGCATTGGAAACTCGCTTGACAGCAACTTCAGTGGAAGTCAAGCATGTATATCATGTATAAAAACTTGGATAAGCAATTTCCATGAACAATAACAACACTGAGTGACGACATACTTGGCATAGAGTGCATGTCTGAGAGAAGACAACAACAAACTATTCACTATTACACTTTTCAACATGGATCATTCATTGTCTTCACTTCCGTGCCGTGTTAGTTCATGTCATGGCAATAACACTAGTAATATACTATCTCTTTTACTAATAAACTTTAAAAAGAAATTCCCCCACCTCTCTTTTTTTCTCTTAACAAACAGTGGGGACAAATACGGCTAGTTTGGTTGATTTGTTTATCCACATCGACAATGATTTCCCAACCAAATTCCTTTCACATCTTAGTAATTTAACATTTGTTTTAAGACCAGTAGCTTTAAAATAAATAAATAAAAGTTCAGCCTTTAGCCTAAGAAGTAAGAAGATGAAATAACTTACAAGGAGTAAATATTAAAGGGTTGCATTATTGCATATCGACGTACTTGTCAAATTATAATGATTAATTAATTGGAACACTTTTTTTAACAATTAAGTTACTAGCTGTACCTAAAATTTGTAAAATAAAAACTGCTATTAATTAATTATTTTGTTCTTAAACAAGGGGGCTACTGTTATTATTGTATAATTATAATTTCTTAAAATCTTCATGTATATTTGCATTTGATTTCCTTCAATTCTAAAATCGATTTTGAAATTATGAAGTTGAAGATGAGGACAGTTTTTCGTGGTATCTTCAAAGAAAAAGACAATAATCTTTGTCGGGGAATTTAAAACTCAAACCCTACACTCATGTATATGTTTTTCTTGAAAGTACTTACTAAATATTTTCTTCAAATGATAATATTTTATAAGTTTTAGATAGGATTATACATCCTTTCTCACTTGCCTTATATTTTTGAACTAAAAGATTCTTTTAATTAATTAATCAATCAATATCACATGAATATATAACTTTTAAATTATAAGTAACCTCATTAGTTTGAAGGAGGGATCCTGAGTTCAAGTAGTTGAATCTAAAAGGTATGTGTATTATTAATGATTAATAAAGATTATGAATAAATACTACGTTATAATAACTTTATATTGACTCGTTGGTAGTTAGTTACTGGTGTTAACCAATATTTTACAAATTGAGTTGCGGGGTTTGTATAGGTTTAATTACAAATTTATAAGGCTTGTGATTTTGAATATCTACATGTTCAAATTGCACAATTTTTGCAAGATTAGGAGGTCGATAATAATTTTGTATGTTTGTTCATACAATATTTAAATTGCAACCAAGATATTGGATGATGAAAATACTATGAATTCATAGTAGAAGTAATATGGTAGCTGGTAATGACTAAATTGACATATTCTTAATATTTCTAGACAGTTATTTATAGTGTTATTTGGAAAGAGGTTCAATATTTAATTGTCAAAGATATTCTTGATCCTTCTTATCATAGAATATTGTTTTTAGTTTCATGTCTAAACCTCTTTATAATTTGAAAAAACAATAATCATAACTGTAATATTGAATGGGTTTAAAATGAAAAATATCCAAATCTAAATTTCTATACTCTTAGAACCCTTAGCTACCTAAGAAAATCTCAATAATGAAGATGGAAAATAAAGAAATGTGCAAAGATGGCATCTAAGCACTAATGTGCCATGTCTTTTGATTTCAGTCAGAGTCTCACAGTTTGTCTGTAAGCAGCTACATCACAGAAGTAACTCCACCATTCAGGACCCACACTTGTAATTTTCTAACACATTCTCCCCTTCACAAAGAAACAAACCATATTATAGCTACACGCAATTAAAATCATCAACAACTCCCTAAGCAATTCAGATCCTAATATGTAGTTCTTTTTAGCTTTGATATAAGCTCTCTTTCTCCAAAGTCCAACTATCCTCTCCTTGTTTGAAGTTATTGATTTGTGTGTGTTTTTAATCAAAGGGTGCAATGGAGCAAGCAGGGTATTGGATGTGGAGAAGGAGGAGATCGGATTGTTATTATGAATCATGGGAAGAGCAAGCTTTTGCAGAAGATGCAGGTGAGGCACTGGGAGGGTGCATATGGCCTCCGAGGTCTTATTCTTGCGGCTTCTGTGGGCGTGAGTTTAGATCGGCTCAAGCTCTTGGAGGTCACATGAATGTCCACAGGAGAGATAGAGCTCGGCTAAAGCAATCCCCGCCCACTGATCCCCAACATGATCACAATCCCTTGTTCTCACCTTTGGGTTTTCAGTGCCAGCCTGATCATGAGGTTTGTAACTTTGCTCATAACCCTAACCCTAATTCTCTCCCACCTAGTAAAAAGAATTGTCTTGAACAAACTTTAGTTCCTCCTTTATCTTCACCAATGGTCCAAGAAAGCCCCAACAAGTCCCCAAAGTCATGGTCAAACTCGGCAGCTGACAGATATCACCATTTCTCTCATCTGAGGGCTGATGACGGAGACAAGAGTCCAAGAATCCTAGAATCTGAATGTAGGGTTAAATCAGATTATGTCCAAACGACTGATTTGTCTTCAAGCTTGAGTCTAGTTGTTCGAGAAACACGCCCTACTACGTCTGGTAATAAACAAGACATCACCGTCGGCTGCAAGAGAAAGAGAACTGGTGATGATCATCATACGCCCACGAACTTACCCTTGTTCCTCAAGCCGATCTCAGCTGAGGACGACATAGATCTTGAACTAAGGCTTGGTCATCAACCCAAGGTAAGCTAGTTTTATCGCAAGACCATATATACTTTCAATCTGGTCTCCACAAATGATCACATATTTTCTGTGAGTGTAACCTCGTTTACATATCTCAAGACGTCTTTGCTTTGAGTTTGATGAATTACTCTTACAAGGTGTAACAAAAGTTGCATATAATTGGCAAAAAAAAAGAAAAGGGAAAGGATTAAAAATACTTTATATCATCTCCATGCATATGAATTTTTAGATAAACGCAAAGGAACAATGTAGGTTAAATCGATTGTTTGGTATGATATTTGTCCTACGTTTTTTACTTTGAAACTGAAGGTCAATTATAACTATGCCTGTCTTTTCCATACAAAGTTGCAGGCCTTGTTTGATTTTTTAGGGTTTGTCTTCATTGAAACAACACATGAATGTATATTAGCTTCAATGATCTATTCTGATTTGGATTACGACAATCTGCTGCATGTGGCAAGGGCATGGTTTGTGAATCAAAAGGTATATATACCAGATAGATATATCAGTTGAAAATTCAGTATTAGGATGGAATGTTTTTGATACATTTGTGAATGCAAATGTTAGACAGCTTGTGACAGAAGGGTTTGCCTGCAAAAGATAAAAAAACTGCATGGAACACCGTGATGACTGATAAGCTCTTTTCCCCATGTATACTTACTGACATTCCATTAGCAATTTACAAAACTAAACCCACAAAAACACAACACTTGTCTAAGATGATGAGATGGATATTTCTAACTCAAAGCCATATGAATAAGGTCAGATGCATGGCAACATGCCTTCCCTTTTACTCGTCTATTCTACTAGCTATTATATTATTTATCTTAAGATCTCACATCATTTGATCTACTTGTGCTCTTTCCTCTCTCTTTCTCCTCTTTATAATCCTTCCAAATTAGCCACCAAATCTGAGAATCATTACATTTAAGTATTACAAAATGATATTACAATGTGCTTTTTTTATTTATTTTTTAAATTATTGAAGAGAATATTATGCCACCGTAACCTATATCCGCTATCTAAGCATCTTTTGTTCCTTCTTCCATTATCTAATCTCTTAATACATACCCTTTCTTAATTTAAAAAAAAAATATTCCCAATGAGAATATAATAAAGTATAATCGAAATACCTACTGAAAATCTGGAGCTTGACTTTGGGATCGGTTTTAGAGGGGAAGCGTGGGGCTATAACTATAAAGCTAGGGTAATCAGTATACCAAAGGAATATAAAGTGATACAAAACAAATAAGTTTGCATCAAAGAGGAAGAGGATTGAAGGTTGTGTTAATGATATTCAGGGCCAGTGGGTTCTCTGTGTTTCTAACGATGCATATGACAGTGAAACTGAAAGGGAAAGAAAAACAGTACTAACAAAAAGAGATGGGTTTTGGTTTGGGTTGAAGGAAGTTGTATTAGTATATGGGTGTAAGAAGGGTTTTAAAGGTGATTTGTTGGGGGTTTTGTCTTCATATTGCTTAATAAATAACAACAAAGGGATGGGTGAGGGTCTCGTAAACTAACTAAATACATACAGCCTACAGGTGTTCAGTGTGTCAGACAAACGCAGAGCATAGCGGGCTTCAAATGTCGTTTATGTTCAGTGGTCAGAGAGAGAACACGCGTGAGTTGCTGTGTTTAGAGCATTTTTGTAATACCAAATTGTTGTTTAACAAAGGAAGAGAGAATATCGAGGAGCCATCTTTCAGTTCCACTTTCAGGTCACAACTTATACCTAACCATCATTTCCCTTCTCTCATCAACTTTTAAAATTCATCTTATCTACTTTTGTATTTAAAACCAATCGTATAATATTAAATTACAGTGTAACTATTTTCAAAGTTATCATGACACCTTAATCTTGTCTATAATTTAAAATCATAATTATTTTAAAAAACATATCATACTGTAATATCCGTAATTGTGATACCACATCCACTGTCGTATCCGCAACTACAATTTAATATTATACAATATTTTTTATTAACATTAAGGTAAAGAACTCAAATAATCTCCCGATTATAGGAAATTATTTTTATTAAGTTCATTGACTATTAAAATAGTATCTTGACTATTAAAAGTTATAAAATGATCGTCCACTATTCATTATGTTCTATACTAGTCATTTCCCGTTAAAAAAATTGGCAGTTGTTTATGCTAGACGTTAACATGATAATTGAGATATGATATCGTTTGAGATTTTGGGATCAACTTTTATCATATTACATTCAACAAATTAACGTTCAACTCATAATATCGTTCATTTTTAACAGAAAATGACGATTTTGTAATATAATGAATAGTCGGGTGACCATTTTGTAACTTTTAATAGTCGAGAGACTCAACAAAACAACGTTCTATAATCGAATAACCATTTTGTAATTTTTAATAACCTAGAGATTTAATAAAATAATAACCTATAATCGAGGGACCATTATAATTAATAATATGTAATATAATATTTTTATTAATAATATATATATATATATGATAAGTGGCATCATAACGAATAACTAAAAACAGTAAAGAGGAAAAACTAACTTGTCCCAAGGTGTTGACAGTTGTAAGCCGAAACATTTGGAAGTGCTGTGTTTGCGTCATCTCTCTTCTTTGGTAGAGAAATGGCAGATGATAGGATCAAATTCTTCCAGCTAAAATCCCTTCTGTCGGATTAGGAACATAGCATGATGTTCTCCAAAACACTGCCATTAAGTTTGGATATACACATTTTGATTGTGCTTCAGTGTATAGCAATAAGAAGGAGGTGATGTTTTCCTTTTACATAATTCTAAGGGAACGTTCTTACATGAACAGAACAGATTGTTTTATGTGTTTGTGTTTCAATTCAGATTGGTTCTGCTCTCAGATAAGTGTTTAATGAGGGTATGGCGATGTTGCGGAAGACGGCTATCGAATAAAGCAAAATCACAACTGATAATTTGAGAAAATAAAAATGAAGATAAAAGAGACACAAAATTTACGTGGAAAACCCCTAAATAATATAGGGTAAAAACCACGGGCAACGGTAGAAGAATTTCACTATGAGAAAATAGGAATTACAACTTCTCTCAATCCACTAAGGAGAAAACAATGATAATTCTCTCTTGATAAAAAGGAGAAAACAACTCTCAAGAAACTCTCTAAATTCTCTCTAGTAATGGAAGAAAGCTAGAATGCTTTGGGATGATTTTGAAGCTAAATGAGCTAGGGTATTTATAGTAGAAGATTTAAGAATTAATCTTGAAAATACCCTAAATTACATTGACTAAATGTGAGATTTTACTATGTCACTTTTCAACCATTATTAGTGCCAACTATGAACCATTATTGTTGCTAACTTACAATGCATTATACAACTATTATTAGTTGTATGACAACTAATAATTTTGCATGACAACTAATAATCTCCCACTTGAAGATTTGATTAGAATAATCATATCTTCACACCATTTTTTTCTACCTTGTACCTTCATGTTGCTTACGTTTCTGACAGGCCACAAGAGGATCAACACCAGGTAAATTTATTAGCGTTGATCGCCTTCGTCATGAAATCTACTATGTTGTCTTTTGTATGGATCTTCTGCATATTACCGTCCCTTCTTCCACCTTTTCACGAATTAAATGGTATTGAACTCGTATGTGCTTTGTCCTTGAATGAAATGCTGGATTCCTTGCTAGATGCAAGACGCTTTGACTATCATAAAACAGAGAGACATACTCTTGATTGTGCCCAAGCTCCTCCAATAGCATCTTCAACCAAATTACTTCTTTACTGGCTTGTGTAGCTGCTACATATTCTGATTCTATTATGGATGTAGCCACAATTGACTGCAATTTTGAAACCCAGCTTACAGCTCTACCAACAACTTTAAACACATATCCTGTAGTAGATTTTCTTTTATCCAAATCCCCTGCATAGTCAGAATCAACATACCCATTGATAAGTAAATTTGATCCTCTGTAATATAATGCAATATTTGAGGTCCCTTTGATGTATCTCAGGATCCTCTTTACTGTATTCCAATGCTCTTTGCCTGGATTCGCCATGTACCGACTAACCACTCCCACTGCTTGTGCAATGTCTGGTCTTGTGCATATCATAGCGAACATTAAACTTCCCACGGTTGATGCATATGGTACTCGAAACATCTCCATCCTCTCTTCTTCACTGCTAGGACTCATACTGGAGGATAATTTGAAGTTAATAGGAAGAGGGGTAGAAATTGGCTTACAATCTTGCATGTTGAATCGTGACAAGATCTTCTTCAAGTAATTCTTTTGTGAAAGCCAAATCTTCCTATTACTTCTGTCTCGTGAATTTGCATCCCTAGAATCTTGTTTGCTGATCCCAAGTCCTTCATTTAAAATTCCCTAGCCAGTTGTGCCTTCAATTCTTCAATATGATCTTTGTTGGGTCCTGCAACCAATATGTCATCCACATACAAGATCAATATAACAAAATTGTTATCACCAGACCTCTTGAAATAAGAACAAGGGTCTGCATTAAGTCTGTTGTATCCAAGGCACATAATGAAGGAATCAAATCTCTTATACCAACACCTCGGCGCCTGTTTTAAACCGTATAGAGATTTGTTCAACCTGCAAACCAAGTTCTTCTTTTCTTTTTCTTCAAAACCTTCAGGCTGGAGCATGTAAATCTCTTCTTCAAGATTTTCATGAAGAAAAGCTGTTTTAACATCTAGCTGCTCTAGATATAAATTCAATGTAGCACACATTGCCAAAACTACTCGAACTGTTGTTAGTTGAACCACAGGAGAAAATATTTCATTGAAATCAATACCTTCTTTTTGAGCATATCTTTTGACCACCAGTCTTGCACGATACCTCTCAACTTGATCGTCACCATTTCGCTTGATTTTGAAGACTCATTTGTTACCAATTGACTTCCTTCCTTGTGGTAGTGGCACAAGGTCCCATGTATTATTTTTATAAAGGGCTTCAATTTCTTGCATCACCATTATCCACAGTGAAACATCTGAGCTATTTATTGCCTCCTGGTATGTTGATGGCTCGTCGTCCTTTGTTAAAAGACAATATGAAATATTACCTTCTATAACATAATCTGAGTGCCAATTGGGACGTCTTCTCACACGATCTGATTGACGAGTTGTTGGAACTTCAGAACTCTCTGGTTCTTGTTC